GTCCTCAAACAAGAATGCATAACCTGCAATCAACGATTTGGCAGTTGAACCATATCGCAATCGGAGTTTCGTGTCAAGAAGTCCAGATAATGACTATGCCTGTTGAGCCGAAATTGCTGCGCCATTCGGATATACACTGCAGTCTAATTACAACTATAGTTAGTCAAGCTCGACAGAAAATAATGGACTTACCAGGGAATGTATCACACCACCGTGAACGATGGTAATGTTTGAGGTCCTTGTATACCCGTTTAAAAATTAGCTGGGCATGAAGGAGAAGGACTTCATCTGGGATATTCCAGATATCGTCGTAACTCCCAGCCTACAACATGACAGTGGGGAGATATTTCTTTGTCCAGCGTTGGTCCACCTGCATCATGGCAGGTAAGTCAACATTGCGATAGGAGCTACGGTTTCATGTGGTCTGGCGTAGTAGCCACGTTCAGCTGAGTTTGATGGCAGGAGCACCATGGGCACGTGTGGCGGATGGCTTGACTTGACCTTTTTATGAGGAGGCAGCTTGCTGTCAGTGACAGAAGCCAACAACAGATACAGATGTCTGTATGAGTGTCAGAATGAACGCTAGTAAGTTCAGTGTCCTTACCGAAGATGTTGTACGCTGAACCTTCTTTCTTCACTACCGCAGGTTTCGGGCTCAGAAGTGTCCTCAGAAATTTCGATCACATCTTCAAGATCCAGGCCTTCGCTGTCCATGGACCAGTCGGACACCACAGACTCCTCGTTGTCATCTATGAACTCATCCCACACAAGCTTTCCGCTTGAGAGGGTTGTCCACCTGTGTAAATGGAGCCTTAGGCTCAAGTGAGTACTGTTCGCGTTCTGCGGGTGAAGTCGCAAGATCATCATCCGACTCACTGCGCTACTGGAGCTATAGGCTCGTCCGAAGTCCGAGTTGTCATCAAATATGGAGGCAACCTGTGAAGCAAATTAGCGGATACTGCACTAATAAACAATAATGGCCGATTACCTTGGATTTCCCTTTGCCTTGTGCGATAGTAAGGCCTCACGCTCCCCAATGTATTGCGATGTCATCTTCAAAGGCTTTTTCCGATACGGACTTCCTGCCTTGTACTTGAGACGTTCGCCACAGGACGTTCCAATCGATATCTGTAGATCAGAAGTCGCCGTAGTGTAGGCCGTGCTTGTGAGAAAATTGTTGATGGAGGGCGCTAGATGTTGAACTGGTGCCAGTGGGTGGTGCCTGACGGACCTTGGCTCTCATTTTTCGGACGTGATCACTTGAAGCCCATTGGCTATTACGCCCACCTAAAGCAATTTTCTGGGTGCTCGCATTGATACTGGAAGTAAGATTAAGGAATACAACATTGATTCAGTGAGGAGCAACATCATGGATGGTGAGAGAAGGAAGCCTTACAGTGTTAGTGTATCTTTCCCATCAGATACATGTGTCATGGTGTTATCACCTTCCACTTTCGATGATGCTTCACTGATCTTGTTTTGCATGTTGCTGATAGCGTCCCTTATCAACGGCTTTCCACCTTTCTTCATTACCTTCTTCTTCTTTGCTCCTACAGTTTCATCCTCCATGTTCTTGACAGCCTCCTGGTGGCTGTCTGCCTCATTGGCGTCCATTAGGCTGTCAGTATGATTATCACCATTCCCTAATACAGGCTTTGTTGCCTTACGAGCCCTTGGCTTAGGCCTGAACGGGAGCCGCTTTTTTTGTGAGTAATTCCTCCTGCGCCTGTTCCATCTCATTTTGCATACCAGCCAGGCGCTCCAGTCCCTTTTGGGTCTGTGCTTCCTTTGCTTCCTTTGCTTTCTTGAGGGCAAGGTCATCAGCGTTCTTTTGCGCCTTGGTACGCCTCTTGACCTGCGCATCGAGGACTACCTGGCCAGGCCAGGTGGTTGCATTTGACGGACGGGTGCGACGGGGAGCATTTGTGGTAGACATGACTGAGGAAATGAGGTTATGACTTGGGAAGGATAAAACTTTGCTGGAGTGAGAAAATAGCAAGGTGGGTTTGAAATACTTGTAAGCCCCCCCCTCCCCAAACAAGCATCGACACACTAATTGGACCTTGTTACTTAGCATATCGAACTTAGGATTACGCTTTGGTCACCATCCTCTTTCTATGGCTAAGATGCCTACGGGTCCTCGCAGGGACCACAGCGCCCTCCAGATTCCATGTGGTTACCTGCGCTGTGAACGCTACTTCAAGACTCAGGCAGGGTGTAAAAAGCACTGGAATACTTCGCACCCAATATTCAAACCAGCTTCTCCCACCAGGGTCTTGCATACTGCCATAGTTGAAGACTAGCCTGAAGAACTGCACAACGATTTCCTCGCAGGTCACAATGACTTCCATGCAGGTCATGACAATTTCCCCACAGATTTATCTGACGCGAGTCAGGATGATCCTGACAATCTGGACGCAAAGTTTTGGGGGCCGAATGATAGATTATACTGCAACTATCACCCAAAACTAAATGGTAAATTTCTCAAAGCTATATCGACTGCTTGCAACTAATGCAAGTATTTATACAAGCTCGTCCTTGTGACACGACAGGTCAATTACTTGAAGATGGAGCACCCCCAACACCACCTCCAAGCAGATTGCCTGATGACTGGACTCCATACCGGGATCGTGTTGAGTTCAAGACTGCAGAATTCCTGTACACTCGCAACCAAATGTCCACTGGGGACATCAACATCTTACTGGATCTTTGGGCCGCGACCCTCCTGAAACACAACGACAAGCCACCATTTGCGGACTGTCATGATTTACATAAGACCATTGACAGTACACCAGTGGGTGATGTCAAATGGCAATCCTTCAAGGTCCAGTATACAGGGGAGAAGCCGGCACATGATGTTCCACCCTGGATGGATCAATCTCACGATGTCTGGTATCGAGACCCCCATGAGGTCATTCAGAACATGTTGGCAAACCCAGATTATGCAACAGAGATGGACTACCAGCCCTACCGCGAGTTCTCAACTGATGACAATACACGTCAATGGCAGGACTTCATGTCTGGTGACTGGGCTTGGAACCAAGCTGTATGTTCTCTTTCCTTGATTTATGCAGTGGCTATTCACACTTACAATTTTCAGTAGGATATCATTTCCAAAGATCCAGGTACAACTGGCTTGACCTTCGTGCCGGTTATACTCGGAAGCGACAAGATGACAGTTTCAGTGGCAACTGGCGCTAATGATTACTATCCTCTGTATGTATCAATCGGAAATGTTTGTAACAATGTCCGACGTGCGCATCATGATGCTGTTGCCATCATTGGCTTCCTAGCTATGCCACAAAGTAATCATCACCCTACCATTATTGTTCTGCGCTAACTACAGTTGAGCAGCTACAAAGGAGCATGCCTCCTGCCCCACATATCAGAAATATCGCCGGCAACTCTTTCATTCGTCTATCTCAAAGATTCTTGAGAACCTAAGGCCTGGCATGACCAAACCAGAGGTTGTGCGCTTTGGCGATGGGCACTATCGGCACGTTATCTATGGGCTTGGACCATATATTGCAGATTACGAAGAACAGGTTCTATTAGCATGTATAGTGCGCTCTTGGTGTCCAAGGTATGTTCCTAGGAGTAATTTTAAATACCTTCTGCCTTACCGCTATTACAGGTGTATGTCACACTGCAAAAATTTAGATGCCAAGTCATTGCATCATACTCGTGACCATACAGAAGCACTCATCAAAGAAGTATCATCTACTGACCTGTGGGACGAATATGGGATCATCCATGACCTCATCGTAAGTCACACGTCTTGCAGTACTACGGTTGAAATTTAATCCTTTATAGCCATTTACAAATGATTTTCCTCGAGCTGATATAAACCAACTTATCGCGCCAGACATCCTACATCAGTTGATTAAAGGAACCTTCAAGGATCATTTAGGTGAGTGGGTTGGAAAATATCTGCTCCATGTGCATGGAAAGAAAGGAGCAGAGAAAATTCAAGACGAGATAGATAGAAGGTACGTCCTTTTGTGTTCATTTAGTATTTCAAAGCTTATGCCATTGAAGGATCGCCGCGGTTGCCTCATTCTCAGGTCTTCGACATTTCCCAGAAGGTTGAGGATTCAAACAGTGGACCAGGGATGATTCGAAAGCGCTTATGAAGGTAAGTTCAACATTATTTCTAGTACATTGTGATCGCCAGACTAACAACAATTCAGGTTTATCTACCTGCCATTGAAGGTCACGTCCCAACGGATGTGGTGCGCACATTTCGTGCATTTCTTGAATTCTGTTATCTTGTCCGGCATAATATTGTTACAGAATCTATGCTGGTTCAGATCCAGGACGCCCTCGACCGATTCCATCATTACAGGAAGGTCTTTGAGTCCATAGGTGTTGTACCTACATTCTCCCTCCCTCGACAACATTCTTGTTCCCATTACATCCTCCTTATCCGACTGTTTGGTGCACCCAATGGCCTTTGTTCCTCAATCACTGAGACAAAGCACATCAAAGCTGTCAAGGAACCATGGAGGTGCTCAAGTCGCTACAAAGCCCTCAGCCAAATGCTGGTGACAAACCAGCGTCTCGATAAACTTGCAGCTTCGCGTATTGATTTCAAGAGCCATGGGATGCTGAATGGCACCTGTCTGTCAGAAACGCTTCGGGCATTGAGTGAGTGTTATAGTGCTATCATCTTTATCGTTTGCTTAAAACCTATACTAGAGCGTTTGTGGTTAAATAGTATGCCTGATGCCAATCAGCCCGACCAACCTAATGAGAATAACATTACACTACTCCCTGACCTCAACATTACTACGCGGGGTGACAATGAAGAGGGTGAAATTATCGATGGCCCAATAGTGGTGCAGGCCCATGTTCAGTTGGCAAAGACACAGCATAAGCCAGCTCATATTTGACAGTGAATACCTTATATAATTTTCAACATCGTGCAGAACGCCTACACGCACAAACTATACCTGACTTATCTGCAGAACTCGCTATCCCCCGTCTCCATCTCTATAACATCCTCCACTGATTTATATTCGAACAAGTGAACCCAGATGACCAGTGCTCTCCCTCTGAAGTCCTGCTTGCAAGTTGTCCACAATTCGATGGTAAAATCCAAGTTTTCAACTCTGCTTCTTCGATATTCTATGCACCCAGCGACCATAGTGGGATTGGTTGCATGCGCCGGGAGCATATTTGTGCCTGTCCTGTATGGAGAAATGAGGCACCCCGGTATGACTGTGTATTTGTGAACACAGATGCAGGTGTCGAAGGGATGGGAGGCATGGACATAGCTTGTGTAATGTGTTTTTTCTCTTTCATATTTGAGGAAGTTTCATACCCATGCGCTGTAGTGCGTTGGTTTGACAAAGCTGACGACGGACCCGACGAGGACACTGGGATGTGGATCATAAAACCTTCGTATGATGATGGCCATTCACCGTCGATTGCGATCATCCATGTTGATTCTATTTACTGGGCCGCACACCTCATCCTAATCTACGGAACACATGCCATCCCACGGGACCTCAAGCACTATGACTCATATGACGCCTTCCGAGCTTTCTATGTTAACAAGTTTGCAGATCATCATGCATTTGAGATCGCATCCTAGGTAGGACTATTTGACTCTGACTCGTATAATACTAACTTGACGCAGTCAAACAGACAAATGGCCATCTCGGACGAATCGTTCAGATGGGTGCATGCACCCTCCACTTTGGCACACAGCAGTACTCATTCACCAAACTCGTCCCTGCACCTTCCTACGCTCGCCAAACTTGTCTAGGTGCCCTCTTATGCTGTTACGCTCACCAAACTCATCCCTACACCCTCCTACGCTCGCCAAACTCGTCCCTACACCCTCCTACGCTCGCCAAACTCGTCCCTGCACCTTCCTATGCTCGCCAAACTCATCTAGGCGCCCTCTTATGCTGTTACGCTCGCCAAACTCGTCTAAGCGCCCTCTTATGCTGTTACGCTCGCCAAACTTGTCTAGGCGGCCTCCATACAAGTCATTGACCTGTGATTGGTGCGGACTTTTGACGCTCACCAAATTTGACCATGTGCCCTCCAGTTATTGGAAATATCACATGCCTGCTATAGTTCACAGCTCTGAATTTATGCGGGCCATGTCTTATTATTGAGAAGACCTTCAACCAAGATTACACTCGTTGTTTGCCGTCAGAAGATCATTGCAAGTCATTTACATAGAACACTAATTTACATAGCAGACCAATGTAGAGACTTGTGCCTCTCATTGTGCAATATTGCAGTTTTCACTAGGGAGTACATGGCACGAACTTGTAGCATCACTCTGTATGCTTCCTACAGCTATTCCTACATGAGGCGCAGCTTTCCCACGCAACGCGCAACTTGCGCGCGTACCTTTCCTGCGCTTCACAATGTATATGCGCGCGCGCTTTCCCGCGCTTGAGCGCCCTATAGCACCAGCCATCCGGAAGCATCCATCCACTGTCCACCAAGTTCCCTAGTGCGTATATTTCCATTTCTCACATTTGCTTATCGTTCCATCTTTATTTTTATCATGGACCCTTACTTACATATATCTTTACATACCTTACTCGGTAGCGCTTCAGCTCCGCATGACAGCGCTTAGGCGCCATACTTAAGCGCCAGCAGTACATACTATTACTCACTTACTCTCCCACCAGAACGACAGAGGACTGAACCACAACAATACCCATTTACTACCCAGCAGAGCATAGTTGAAATCTATTACTTGGAACCTTGCATATAACATCTCTCAGCTTGCATCTCTCACCTCTTGTCTAGTGCCTAATCATCACTTAAGCAAACTCACTCTTACTCTCTCTTGTTTCCGCATACACGCGCGCACATTCCCGCGCTTTGCATTTGCCAACCAGTAGCGCCTTCGGCGCCAACTACTAGATCCTTGCTGTACTCGCTTCCCCTTTAGGGTCGAATGCACTTGTCGTCTCAAGTATAGCAGACTAGGCAATGCACGACCTTACAACATTTATAGATACAGTCAGGAGCATTGTTCGTGCCTCGCTGTATCGTTGAACCTTCACCGAGTCATTTCACAACGCTTCAAAACACCATCTAACATGAACAAGTAAGTCCCTAACTTGTCATATATGAGATATACTCCTTACCTTGCCCGTCTGCAGTAATTCAAGGATTACGCTGCACCATGCATATGCTCGAGCGACACTCGATCCCGGCAACTCAAAAACCCCCTCAATCTCCTCCAGAACCCTACCCTCACCCCTCCAGCTACATCTTGCCCAACCACCACATCTGCTGGCATTTCTGGCTGATCCACCACGACAGGCCACTCTCGTCCTCGTCCATAGATTTGTGGTGCCGTTGGTGGCTGACGGCGTCTTGGGAATGCGGCGGTTCGCTATCGATCACGTCAGTGATCAGCGATATACACAGCATGGAGGCTACTTACAGGGGCCATAGGAGCCATCTTGTTCATAATCTTCGTGGTTATAGGTGAGTAGACAATGTTTAAGTCTCAACATCAAGATTGTACTGATATTACTACTGCTCGATAATCGGCGTCTCCTGGCAACTTCTTTTTTTGGACGACAAGTAGTAGTACCGCCGGCTCTGTACTACCATGCACCACAAACATCGAGGTGCTTGGCCACTGGTTCTGCAAGTGGTGTCTTCGCAGCACCTGCGTGTGCTTCTTGTTTTGACGCCATCCTCTGTTTGGCTTTGACGTTCCCCTCACACCCATCTTACTCTTAGGCTAATACTACCATGTATTACTTATTGCACTTAATACTACTTTTTTTGCTTTTTTTGCGGTTTAGACTTGTGAACGTGAGCGCGCCCTTAATTCACTTTTGCAAAAGTGAATTAAGTTGGAAAAGCAGTGTATTAAGTAACCTTCACCAAAAATTAAGTAAAATAAGTGAGAAAAGCAGCTGGTGGTTTTCCTGATGCAGTTCCATGATTGGGCTGAGCACTAAATAAAAGACCCCATCGGGTGGGCCTCTGTCACTGAGACTAAGAAAGATATAATGAGCAGCTGTACAATTGTTGAGGTACATACATACTCAATATCCGCTGGCATTAACTCGGTCGACTTCAAGTACACTGGATGTGGACATTGCACATTGAGAGGCTTGTCCCACCACACAGCATAAGTTAAGAAATTGAGAACCGCAAAAGTGAGTGTCCCAACTTCGAGCTGGGTGGTTTCGAGGCAATAGATGGCACAGGTGATGAGCTGCATAACAAACCAGGCCACTTGAAGCATGACCAATCCTTTTGATATCACATTTCCTTTGCTTTTGTCGTGGATCTGCATTGCTGTTAGGGTAGGGAAGTCGATGTACCCGTCACGTATCAGTTTGAGAATGTCATCAGATCGTAGAGTAAGGTAGGGTTTCCCATCCACATAGAGCATGAAAGTGAGGCCCTCTATGTGCCTTACTCTTCCCAAGATTTGGGAGCCAAAGTACTTCAGAATGGTAACGAGAGTCCGGGCAAACTAAATGTGTCTATGTGAGTGTCTGTTCTAATCGCAAAGAAAGGTTGAAGCAGTTGTCCTAATCCGAAAGGGTGATGACTGCACATGTGTCCACTGTCCAAATGCAGGATCTACGTAATTTACCTTTTGGTGTCTTCAAAGTTCTGTGTTCCGATAATTTGTCCAATGTTAATGTTCATCAACAATACTCTATTTGTAGGTGCAGCTTGGATTGCTCTAATGAAGTAGAGGAAGATACATGGAAATAGTGAGCACATTATTGGATGTTACTTTGGGGTGTATGTGTTTTGTTCACTATTTGTATCTTAGTACTAATGGGCATCATCTCAAGGCGCCCAGTGCAATGCACGATGAAGCACATGCCTTCAATTTAGGAGCTGATGTTGCCAAACTATTCCAATTGTAGGCTTCTATCTGCTGCTACGATTCGCAATCATTGCAACCTGGCATTGATACCCAACCCGAAGGCAGCGATTAGATTCAGTGGGCAATGGTCATTGGGCCTTAAACAAATTAGATTTCCATTCAATATCCACTGGGGGCATCACAAGGGATCACAACTGAAGCGCTAACACTTGGCCGCCATTTGTAAACCTCTATATATAAATTTACAGCGGCTCAGTTTCCCTGAATCAAATCAGCATGGCTAATACTTTGCACACCTCAACAGTTCCCTATGAAGGGCGCCAGCATCCTTGGCAGCACTTTCTGGTGCTTCCTACAGTCTGTCAGACCCGATTTCCATGTCGGACCAAACACATCTCTGAGATAACAGTGGATGGTGAAAGTTGAACATTGAAAGTCCACGGTATCAGTGCACTTGAGACTCCAAAAAAGGTCAGACTGCAAGGACTGGAAGACACTTACCGAAGCATATGCGATGCCCTTGCACCACAGGACAGATCCAAAGGAGCAAAGGGATTCGGCGAGAGAACAGATGTGAAAGAACAAAAGGATCAGACCAGACAATTGATATGGTGCCGAAATGTCTACGACCGCATGTAACACTGTGAACAATGGTCAAAGCGGAAAGGACGGCCAAAGTGAAGGACACATACCGGATTGAATGAAAGTAGATAGGTAGAAAAGAACAGACCGAAAAGAGTGAAAGATGGTGCTGACGACACCAGCGTTCGGAAATGAAAGCATCGAACATTGGTTAGCATGGTGGACGTGGCACAACACACCTGCACTGATTCCACCCCCAATGGCAACGGGGCGCACCCGGATCTCACGTAGATCCACCCGCAAAGGGCCAAAGCCAGGAGCCTCGTCAGCCGCATCAGTACTTGCCACCACGCCGCCAAGCAGAGCCCAAAGGGACGGAGAACGAAAAGAATGCGAAAAGAAATGAACAGCGCGAACGGACTTGCTGAGACGACGACAACGGCGGCGGCACACAAACGAAGGGGTTAGTCACTTCAGTAGTCTATGTCATAAGGTTTATCGTGCACATAATCATTGCATATAGTAGAACTTGGGGAGAAAATACTGATAGTGATACATCGTTTTCACGTTAATAGCCCGTTCGACACACCTATGCTTTCCTGAAATTGCCTTTCTGCTTCCAACCATTCGGCGACAGGCCTATCCCTGCCTTCCCATTCCCATTGGGCTAAGAGCTTCTCCTTTTGAATTTCCAACTCTTCTTGCACTTCTCCTCGAGCTGTACTAGACAGCTCAAAGTCCCACATACGTCCTCTACGTTCCGATTCCCGTGCTACAAATTGAGCGAATGGGAGGCGAACGTCCTGGTATGCCTTCAGCGCCGCGGGCAAATTATCTAATGTTGTGAGTGGATGAGCAAGAAGGCGACCAAGCACAAAAGCATCCTTCGTACGAAGTGAGATCACATAGTCTGACGAAAGATCACACCTACCTCTATTGCCTGGCCAGCTCCGGCACCAAAGTGAGGTGTCATCGCGTGGCACTACAGCCCGATTTTGTCAAAAGATCTTCTACATAGTCACAAGGAGAAGCGTACCGCATCACCTATCAGGGCAACTCTGTCATAAGCAGATAACGGCAATTCATTTACTACATGGAGCGCCCATCTTGAGGGGTTTTCGAAACACTGCAGAAATGTCGTCAGTCGAGGACGGCATGAGGAACACAGCCAAAGACTCACTTTCAGTAGGTTTTTAACACTGGATTCAAAGTCCTCATATGATTCCTGAACCTCTTCATGGGACACAGATGAAGTCCAATGGCCCTCAAAAGGTGTGCCAGTTTTGTCCTCGTCGGTAACAAGTGCCACAACATTGATTAGTGTTCCTTGTGAAATTGGGTATGAAACGACGTGCTATGAAGTTATAATGTAGATTAATCAGGCCAGTAATAGGCTGATAGCAACAATCTACCTTTCTCCTTCCGCAAAACTACAAAATGGGAGTTAATCACAATGATCACGACTGCTTTGTGCAAACTCACTATCATGAAATTCGTCAAGGCTATGTGGTCTGGATCCAATTCCGAGAGCTTCTTTGCCGGGAATACAGTGCGATAGACGAGCGTTCCGGTCCAAGATGGATCAACGTAGTGTCTTATCTTACTTGGGTCTACGACATCCTCGTCTAATGTTTCAAAAAGCGTCTTCCGCACTGAGGAGTGGATACCGTCTGCTCCTATTAACACGTCCGTAGCTGAGGTGCTGTCATCAGCGAACTGAAGGATGAGTGATCCTGATAACTGTTTGTCATATCGAGTGAGTTGTTTATTAGAGTGAAGGCTGCACGACGAGGGGAGATATTGCTTGAGGGTTTCCATGAGATGCTGACGGTTCATATGAGATGAGACTGTGGGGGGTGATTGAAGCCATTCAAAACCACCCTGTGGAATATCAGACCTCCTGACTTTTAGCGCTGTCGGTATGAATTAAGTTACATACGGCTGTCAAATAAACTCTGACAGACCTTGACTGGAAGAAGGGGGTTTTGTCGAAACGCGGGAGATTTCTTCGTACATGTCGAGTTCTTTCATGACCTCTATTGTACGACTCGAGAGTACAATTCCGGCCCCACCAGTCGTGGTACCATCATCCGCTTCATACAAGTCTATGTGGATATCCTGATCTGCAAACTTCCCGATTGTGACAGCGAGAGCAAGCCCTCCTATGCCTGCACCGCTGCACAGGAAATTCGTCTGCGTTACGTTCTTGAGGGATTATCCGACTCACCAGATTGCTACTCGAAATTTGGGATCGGCTGATGAGAGTGGCATTATAGTTTGAATTTTACAAGTGCTATAAGATGGCCGCAGTGGCTACATTTTATAAGTCAAGTCGACATACATTTTTGGGTGACCACTGACTAGTCAGGAACTGCGTCCCAGAAAAAGCAGAAGTGTATCATCACAACCGAAGAGCTGGCATTTGCTGGCGCCTGCTTGACTGTAGATATTTGAGTTCGCATTGCGTAGAACCGTAGGGTCGGAATATGTCTGTTTAACTAAGGAAATTTACGATTAGCTACGTGGTACGATCATCGGGCCACACAATGACTGAAGAGAATGAGTATTCTAGCTGCCGCTTGGCGAAGATTAAGGTAGTTTTGGCCGATCAGCGGACTGAATACTGCAAGTGCGACAGCATGATGGATAGCAAAAATAGCTATCCCTGCCGATGAAATCTTGTGCCAGTTTACGATGAATGAAAAGGTTTTAGCCACATCCGTCGTCGAGAGGACGAGTCTGAAATAGCCGATCTGTCGGTCAGCACAGATACCAGGTCTATATCTGCGACCAAGTCTAGCCTAGTGCACTGTGCACGTTCGACACGGGTAGCGGAGTTTGAAGTTGCCAGCGGCTGACTGTCGTGGCGGGATGTCAGCCGCTGTCACAGAGCACGGATCGTGTTGCTGCGGCACACCAAGCGCTGGCCGGGGTAGGCAGATGGAGGAGAGAAAAAGACAGGGAAGGAGGAAGACGTTGACATTGCCCGATTGGGATGGAGCCCGAAATCAGCATTCCTCGGCGGCGGGCACTTCAAGCAGGCGGGGGGCGTGGTCACGGTGTAGGGTGATGCCATGAGCAATATAGCGCCATCTAAACTCCGCTTGAATCACTCAGACCTAGGCCTGATCCCAGACACAGACTTGGAGTCAGACATGCACGTACACCCAGATCGGCTATAAGTATCCTGTACTACATTCACGTCGCCGACGTAGCGCTAGCCATCCGCACTGCGCAGTGAGCTTTTGTGGGTCATGTGGGGTCATTTCCAGTTACATAAACACAACCTATGAATATTTTTCCCACAATATTGACTTTGAACAAGTTACTTCAAGAATCAAGATATCAGTGTCACTGACAGTTAACCGTGATACCTTTTGTCGCTACACCTTGCCATGACGAAGCATAGTAAAAATAATACGGCGTCTTCGGTATTTTCTTACGCCGAGAGACAGAAGGCGGAGTATGGTACGAAACGGGTGCGTCTGCTCAGCTACATCATACGAAGCTTTTCACCAAGTACTACAACAGCAACGCCTGGGTAATGAATCAATGCGAAATTTTGACGCATGTTCTTTGTGCTTGCAGCGAGCGAGGGAGCCGATAGCATGCGATCAGGGTCATTTATTCTGCAGGGAGTGTGCGTACACTGACCTACGTAAGTTCACAATGGCATGCACAAGTTTCATATAAATTAAGTATCCAGTGACACAGAAAAAGGATATTAAGCGGCAGAAGGAACGCCTTGAGCAGTTGAAGAAAGAAACTGAAGAAGAGAAAGAGAGAGCTAGAGAGGCAGCCAGAGAACGTGTACTTCGTGATTTCGAGAAGGGTCAACTGGGGTTGTCTGCGAACCTGCCATCTGTTGCATCTGCATCTGGCGTCGGAGCAAAAGGTTGTGCGTATCTCGTCCATTCACTTCTCCCAGTAATGCTCAATTATTCCCAGCCCGATCATCGAAACGGAAGCTTGACTTCGACTCTTCAACAGTTGAAACTCTTACCCGTGAAGCCGAAGAAGCAGCTCTAAGACAGATCGAACGAGAGCAGGCGGAGTCATTACGACACAAACTACCGGACTTTTGGCTGCCTTCGCTAACTCCTACATATACCTCAAGCGGTTTGCCGAGCTCTCTCAAGGATGTTAAGGTTCAAACAACCTGCCGGGGAGGGAATCCACCCCACCCAATAAGGTCAGTATACATGATCTGTCATGATAAACAATTTCTCATGACGTTTTAAGCCTGAAGTCATTGGTGCCTGTGGGGTTTACATTACTACCCGCTGCTTCGGCGTCACAATCGTCAGATTCTACTCCCGTGGAGAGTGAAAAGGGTAAATCCAAGTTAGAAGATGATGGAGTTCCGATTTGTCCGGCGTGCAAAAGTAATCTTCACAATAATAGGATGATGTTTCGTGAGTCCACCATGCCTCTGACATCGCTTGCAGGATTGACCACCCGTAGTCATGAAACCATGTTCCCATGTTGTGTGCAAAGTATGTGTTGATAAGCTGGTGCGGGTGACGAAGCAGTGCATCGTTTGTGACCATACACTTGATGATAAAGACATGATCGAATTAAAGAGAGAAGGTGCGTGTTTGTTTGGGTCGCGTAGGTCCTTGTGGAGCAAAAGGACTACGTCTTGTTTTACCGCATTCTGATCATGATATTGTCAGGCACTGGCTTCGCAGGAGGCGGCATTGCAGAAGCGAAGAAGACAGGTGTCGCGTTCCAGGGTTGAAAGTACTCGTCTGTATCAAGATCGACTCCATAGGTCTTGAGTCGGTTTTCACAGTTCAAGTTGTTAAACGTTGTTCTCGGTTGATTGAATGTGCGCTGTTTTGATAGTCCCTCTACAGTGATTCCCGACTTGCAATTTGACTGTTGCATATTAAAGCTCCAGAATAGCTTTGAACGCGCATCTACGGCCCCGTCTAATGCAAGTTCCTAGCTTTTGCAGGGGACACCTGCTAGTACCTAATGTTATGCATGGAGCAACAGGTCTCTATATTTGATGTTCTTTCGCAAAAGTTTGCTCAGGCGCTGCGCCGTACATGCATCTTCTTCCTGAATGTTCGACAGTTACTCTGCATCGAACAGTCCACTGGTCAGGAAATAATCCGTGTTCGGGTATGTTTATTGAATATGCTTAGTATATCGCCCTAAAGAACAATAAGGTCCTGGGATCCAGAATCCATGCAATCTCGATCAAACCGTCTTTGTTCGTTTCGCTCAGTCACAATCTAACTTGGAGGTCAAATTTGTGGTGTAGCAGTGGACCTCAGTGTGGTTCCATGTCATCTCATTGTGTGGCGTGGGTTCATCTCTCCTTTGATAACAGCATTGACTCGCCACTGCACTACGCATTGTGTGCGAGCTGAGCCACGAGCCAAGCAGTGCTGTTGTGTCCCATTCTCATTACCACTACCAGGTTTGACAGTGCCTCGTGTTTGTATTCCTCCCTCATTCCACGATGCCCGATCCACAACCAACCAATCCACCACACCCACACCCATACCATTCAAACATATAAACCGCGATACAGCTCATACTCATGGTCTTTCCAACATCACACCTACTGTCGATTGCCTCGTCAAATCATGTCGCTCAACACGCTACCATACCACGTTTCATCCCAATTTCCCAAGCCGTTCGAGAAGAACTCTCGGTGGCACCTCCTTGAAATTGACTTGGAGATCAAGAGACGCAACATGATGAAGTGCTTTGCGAATAACCCTGGTGATCTCCTCCCGCCAAGCCCTACTACTCGTAACGCTTGGAATCTGAAGCCCAACAAGAAAGTCGGCACGATCCCGCCGCAGGCGCGCGGGGATGTCATGTCTCTTCGCACGCCACCAACCACCATGGGCGCTTCTTTCACTGTCGTCAATGATACTTCATCTTCTATACGTGAGGCTTGCACTCCTACTTCACACACATGCAGCACGAACGATGTTTCCTCGAGCAAGGTTACTGGACGTTATCAGCCTAAGACAGATGGAAAGTTCTCACTCAAAACCAACTGTCCTGAGCAAAACGCATTGTCTCCGAACGACCAGCACTATTCCGCAAATACCGAAAACAGTCGTGTCACGCAATCTGGCAAATCCTCGATCTATGCGGAAGGGTTTAGAAAAATTGTCGAAGCCAAAATGGCAGAACTCCGAGTTCATGGCTTGGATTTCGTTGTCGAAAGTCTGCTGACCGATGGAGTGCAGAATGTTGACTCGGCGCTGCTTGTTTCTATGGTAGTACAAACGATGTTAATCAAACTGACGAAGGAATCGCCGAAACAGATAAAAGGTCTCGAGAGGATCTTACGCGTGCGCGCTATGAACATTTTTCGCCTACACTGGAAATCAGTTGAGTCCTTCCCCGCTGATTGATAAAACAGGGGCACTAAACGTCACTCGCAGGACGGCAACTGGAAGAACATATGCTCCACAACCGGTCAATACTCTGCCCTCACACTGACGGGCGTAAACAAGGCTGGCCTTCTTGGATCACTCTTCTCTGCTAATATCGTCACAGCTGAAGACATCGCCATTTGCTTGTTCATGCTACTAGAAGACATACACTTTGACCGTCTGTGCGCCATACACGCCCTCCTCTCATACGCAGACCACAGATTGTGCGAACCACAAAATCTGCCAGTATTACTCAAGCTCAAAGAAAAGTTGCGCGTCGTCGATCCGTTAACTAACTTGTGTCTGTGGGGTCCCGTACCACATTCCCAAGCCCTCATCCAGGTAAGCATTAGGACTTACTGTAGGTGCAACTATGTCTCAACAAATGTTTTGTAGAAAATTTTTGATATCATTGAAGGCTGGATGGTTCACATTATTCAGGCACGCAAGCGCGAACAAGGTCGTATTTTTGCGGGATCATACCCAACTTGGACGCCTCCTCCAAATGCCAGTGTAGGGCCACGACTGCGTGGAATGAGAAACGAAGCCTAACGCTCGAGGTCTGGATGTTATCGCACAGGTTGCGCTGACGTATTGTAAATATATAATGTACCTTCATGTTCAATTCATGTTTGTCTGTTCTCTCGATTCAACCAAGTTCATGTTTGCATACCAATGTTAAATTCAAAAGTAGTTCGTGAGCATCCTTTTCGTGTGGTAGGTGAACAGTAGGCAGTTTATTTACGCCCCTCGAGCGACAAGAAATTGTTCCGGTATATCCGGATTCTCGTAACGAGTGAGGGTAGGTAAGGTGTATAATTCAGCCCTGTCGTTCATCCGCACCTCACGTCGTACCTTGTGCTCTAGTGAACAACGAAGGTATTGTTTTGACTAGAAAGGAACTCACATTCCAAACCCTTGTATCGCATCCAATCTGAGTCACTGTTGCAGGACATTGTCGGACGATGCGCAGAGCATCATTCATCATAGACCGCTCTTGCGTTTCATTCAGTTCATGATAAAAGTTGACATGAATCGCGCGGAGGTTACGAGCAGCAGCAAAACAACTGGATACATCATCCTAACAGGTGTGGATGAGAACTTCAACTCACAAAAAAAACACAAGCTACGCACCAGATTGTGCCGCGTGGTGACGACAAACAGTTGCTCTAAAACGGAGCATCGGGAACATATGTCGCGTAATGCACCCAAACTAATTGTCATCCGGTCAATAGAGAATCGCTTGAGGCGCGACCCATGCATCGTGACAATGGTTTTCCAAAAATTGTCCGGGACAACCACTTTAGCGGTTGGCGTCATAGCATAAACTTGTAATATTTCTAATGGCGCGGTGGATAGCAGTTCCGTTACATCATCCGTCCATGTCTGAAAGGGTGTTTCAATATGAACTGCCAAAGTGATTGATCTGAGACGCCTAAATGCCCGGTGTTCCTTGCAGATGCGGTTGAAGCTGGTCATATCCTGCTCGATACAGTCAGCAGACGCGTAGCGATGGCGAAAGGTTGAAGACTCACAAACGCCGGGGAAAGCCTCTCGAGTCCGATACTTGTGAGGCCATTATGATTGGTTGATACAATTTCACCAATGCCTCTATGTGTCACCTTTGGACATCCAATGATTGATAATTGATCCAGTTCGGTCATGCTAGGAGCGAGAGATTCCAGTAAGGTATCGGTGATTAGACTCGATGTCTACAAAAGGGAATGAGATCAAATTGTTCAGTCGCTCTGATCCTTGTCATACCTGACAGATCATAGTAAGGTTCCGAAGGGTTGGACCTGTAGCGGATATCCAGGAGGGAAGAATTTCAATAACTTGCGCGCTCGGCATTATGAGTGATATTCTAGCCAGTTTGGAGAATCGTGTAAGTATGTTGGGATCATAGTATCCGCTGTCCTTTCCGTTGATCTCGAGTTCTTCAAGTTGGGGGCATTGCTGGAGAGCCAGGAGAATCACCGATTCCAATGAGCCATCTCGAGTCCAGGCACACGATCTCAGGTTGACACAATTCCGTATTCCTCTTGTACAAAGATCCAGGAGGTCACTGTAGGAAGAAGAAGGGAGTGCCTTTGGGAAGGCTCTTATCTCTGTATAAAGAGGTTAGTAACTGCGCTGGTTGGTGTTATCAACTAGTCTGCGCCCACCGAGACGTGAAACATAACGTGCAAGACGAGGACAATTTGAAAGCGTCTGGAACAGCAGAACGACCTATTCTGAGTATGAACAACACCAATTATATGCTATAAACATTGGATCCACCTTTGACTTGGCCTTTGTGTGCCATGCGTAGATGTAAACGCGCCGATAGAGCCTTTGGATCGCAAACTCGTTGAATGACTTATTGACCAGACATAAGAATGCAAGATGTTGGGCTCTGACTATGGAATCAAATATTATAGGCAATAGTTCGAGAGGGATGTCATCAAAGCTGAGGGTCATATGTAGTAGGAGCGGAGCGGCAGCGGCAGTCACTGGCAGTATACTGGTGTATATTTCGTTATGTAATTAAAAGCGGCTTCAACTTCGCCAATGAAAATCGTTTATCGTTTATCGCAGATCACATGCAGGACTACAAATTTCACAATAGTTCCCAGCCTTATACACCCATTTGTTCGACTGGTATTGTTGTTTCATTATTCGCAGATATTATTGCCTTTGAAACTTGGCTGAAATTCTGGCCAGTCCGGTTCCCATGCATACATCCGCCTCCCATATTCATGGGAAGTCAGAAATTTACCGGTCACCAGCGTTTACCTATACTTAGTGGCCTTGCCATGAGGTGCCAGTGTGCCACTTATCTAGAAGTTGACAACAAGAATGGTGGCGGATCACTAGCGAGCAGCTGACCTTGTAGCTGCCAATTTAGTCAGTACTAACCCTGACGTCTGCAGACAACTGATTGAATTGATGGTAATAACACACAACTGTATGAGTTCAAGAATTTCAACTTGCGAGTCCATCGCACCGCGTCGTTTGTGGCGCGGGAAAGTGTTCGGATAAGGCAATTTTAGAATTTGGGAATTTTTGTACGGGAGCCGAGCATTGCATTAGCAAACAAGGGACCCACGGATGAGGATAAAATATAAGCCCGCGCAAAACCCCGGATGCGTTGAAGATGATCGTGATTCGTATGGCTTAGTACTATACCGTGAAGTTCATTGGGTGTTTTAACATTTGTCCTAACTTACTTCAAGCCTGCCGTATATATGAAATCGAGAAGAACAAGGGTCACCTCACGACCGAAGCTCTTTCAAGTTCTGTTCGTGTCGCGTTTAATTCCTGTTCACCAGCGCATCTAGGGCACCTGCCGCATTACTCATACTAGTACTGGGTCAGTTCTCTGTCTGCTTCACTGTCGCAGTCAGGCTAAATAGGAGACCCGTTCGCCAATTCATTACTGTAAACGCGATGCAGATGTCTGAAAAGGAATGCATCTCACTCGTGCCTCTGCATTCCAGCGAAAACTCCTCATCTCGTACGAACTGTGAGTGGCATCGTTGAACCGATGTTTCAGTGACCTCGCTGACAGCCAACAAGACTCCCGAACAAACCTTGGCTCGCCCGTTGCCACACCCCCCTTGTTCAACCAGTCTCAATTTGACATTGTTCTCCGGCGGCAGCATTCTCGTCAAGAAGGAAAGCCAAAATTTACGGCTGTTCCCTCGAGATTTTTGAATCTCACAAATGATTTTGAGTTTGCTGGCTGGGGTTCTATCTCTCATCTCACCCTCGTACCCGAAGATATACATCAGGGTGATGTTGAAATGACTTCATTCCGAGAACAGCAGGTTCTTGGGCAGTTTACAGCCAGTGCGCTTGCAGCCAATGACATACTCGGCGGTGTATTCTACACTCTGCCAAGCGTCGTCGCTCTCGCTGGTGTCTAGTGAGCTAATTTCGCAATCAATGTACATTTGAACACGCTCAACTACTTCCAGTTCCCCTATTTCGCTTTTTGTGGCAGCTCTGACTCTATTCCTTTGGCGTCCCGTCATGGAAGAAATGGCTTCTGCTCTTCCGATTAGCGGGGCTCCCTACACCTATCTGTATGTCGTCTTTGCTTCTGAATAGAAATATTTATGACCAATTACCACCAGGCTCAATGTATCCACAAAGTCTGTAGCTCTTTTTGGGGCCGCCCTCCTTCTCTTGGATTTTTCAGCCACAGCAGTAGTTTCGGCTGCAACTGCGACATCCTATCTTGCAGGCGAAGTCTCGCTACCATTTCCAGTCTATGTCGGTGCTGTCCTTGTTTTCGTTTTATTTACTGTCGTCAGCCTTTCGGGCTTGAGAGAAAGTGCTCGCGTAGCAACTGGTGTACTGGCGATGCACGTGAGTCCTGAGGTTTCTTACCGTCTACCTACTTTTGATCATATGTCGGAGCAAGGCTGTAGTAATGATCATGCTTATCGTAGCTTCTGTCATTGCTTGGGGCAGAGGTGGGATGGCTCAGTTCAGATCCAACTGGTCGTTGGGGCACGTCGGATTGTCTCCAGCAGCTATAGCCCGACAGGTGTTCAATGGCGTATGTATAGGGATGCTAGGGTTGACTGGATTTGAATGTGAGTGTGTTCACTTGCAACCTACAGTGTAATGTAATACAGCTTAGGCGCACCCTCATATACGTCAAAGATGAAGAAGAACCGTTATCCCAAGGTTCTGCGCAACCTGCATTTATCTGCACTTGTCCTCACTAGCGGGGTGATGCTCCTTGTTATGGCATTATTGCCTCTCGACGTGGTCGAAAGTGGCAACAATATCCTCAGTTTGTTGGCTCAAAAGGTGTGTACCCTTCCAATTTTCGATGACTACGCGTGATGCTGAAGAATGACTAGGTTGCAGGGCGGTGGCTACGAATAATGGTCGTAGTTGACGCCGTTGTTGTACTTTGTGCGGGTGTGCTTACAGGTTCGTGAACATTATGCGTCGTGATCCATACTCATGTTGTATTTTAGGAATCTTGAGCGCCTGCGAGCTCCTTGTTAAGCTATCATGTGATCTCATCCTTCCTCGCGTATTTCTTGCTACGGTTCCAGCGACAGGCGCCCCTTATGTCGCGATCATTTCATTCATTGCATTCAGTGCATTAGTATATGCAAGCACAGGCGCAAACCTGACTGTGATATCCCAGATGTGTGTCCTCAAATTCAGCAGTATCAAAATTCTGACATTGAACAGGTTTGCAATGGTGTGGTTGGCTGTTATGGCGCTCTTCCCAGTCTCCCTCTTACTCCTCCGTTTCTCACGACCTCGACTTCCGCGTGCATCCCAATGTTCACTGTTTGTCGTTGCTGGTGCTATCAGTGTCACTGTAACAGTAACGGCAGGCAACGTGGCCATAGATCCTACCATAGCAGGGTAAGGCACCTATACCT